ATATATGATTCTTGATGTGTAATCAAGCTTTGATATAATAAGGAAGTGCCCATCTATATATATTGGCAGTGTTTCTGAGAACAAATCTTGTCTGACATTTTGCTAATAATGTACATGTGTATCCAAAATAATCATTCCACCAGTTTTAAAATATTTAGACGGAACCTGTACACTTTGGCTTAACAGTTTTTATTATTCGTGTTTCTGGTCATGTGTACTCGGGTGAAGATCTATGATTGCGATGTTTCTCTGAGTGTGGCCACAACGGGAAAGCGAAAAGTTTTGCTTGACCGCGGTGGGAATCGAACCCACGACCTTTGGTTCACTCGTTCTATATTTCTACCATTCGCGCATTATTGTTTTGCCTTTTTAGTTCACTGTTATCACAGTATTCGCATTTTACTCCAAATATCATATTTTCATCTCAGGCACAACAATTTTTGGCGCGAAAATTAGTGTGAACATTTGCCCAAACCGAATTGAAATATCAAAATTTGTTGGATTAAGGGGTGTGGTACATGCAGAATTTAAGGAGTTCGATCGATTTAGGTCAATTATCTGTGTACGAACTTTTCAGACACACTTGTCTGTGATATTGTTCGTCTGAGGCTTCGTTCACGCTACGAGGAACGACACGGCTGTGAGGAAAACTACCTTAACGCGAGACGCACTGTTTTCCCAACGTCCCAGTAAGTATTCTATTACATACCTGCATGTGCCTAAAAACGGGGAAAAAAACACAAAAAACGAAACGAGAATGTTTGAAAGTAATGTGTATACATCGCTCAGATGTACATGTTGCCAAGACACATACAGACTACAGTTGAATTTCGTGAAACATTTGTTGACACAAGGATCGTAAAGGCGAATGGTAAAAATCTGAGTGCGGTCTGTTCACAGAGGCCGCAGGACAATTCGAGAGCACGAGTGGACGAAACTTACGCAGATATTTCATCTTGATGAATAATACGTCGTTTGCTGCGGAATATATATATATATACACATCAAAGATATTACACAAACGATAACGTTCCTTCGAACGCATCATTTTGGAAATGAGATTAATGCGCAAATATACAAAGTTTTCAATTGCGCGTGCCGTCCAAAGTGCCGCTATCTTTTCTAAAACCGCTCAAAATATATGCTCAATATGTACACGCACACCTAACTACGCGTACACTCAACATATTGCTTTCTATTCATTTGGAAGAAGTGCCCGGTTCAAAAATGTTTTATCACGTCTCGTTGAGAAGAAAAATGACAAAATGTGAAAGTGGGTTTTGGTTCGCATAATGTTGGGGAGTACTCATGCAATTAAAAGAAAGAGCCGCGAATATAGTGCATGTTGACTAATATAGTATAGGATAGCTAATTTTAAGAACTTCACAACCGTCGGCATACATGTATTTATACATGTTTGTATTCCGTGTTTTGATTCACGACATGTCGGTGCTCAATACTGCATTGCAAGAAACAGCGAATATATGGCGTGCAGGTTGACTGATATTATAGTAGAGGAAAGCTTCACAACCGTCGGCAAGCATGTACTTAATTTACTTATACATGTACAGAGCGTGTTTTGATTCAAATGTACAGGGGGAGTGCTCAATACCATTGCAAGATTCAGCAAATATAGCCCAGATTGACATGCCTTCGAATTCTTCACTGCCGTCTGCTTCGCCCTAGATGGAAGCGTAAGGCTATCACCCTCAGGGCAAGACAGACCTCGAGTGAGTTTTTAAGGCAAGTGAATCTATAATACATATACAATAGATAGTATATATATATATGTACACACTGAAGACAGTATGTTGTATGTTTTCGTGGAGTTACGAGGTCCATTAGCAAGTGCTGTGAGCGTTAAAGTATTCAAGGAAACCTGGATAAGGTGGGATGAAGAATATTTTCAATGTTTACATGAATGGAAGAATCTTAAAGAGTCGTATATATAGAATTAATTTAGTGAGTTCACATATCGTCAGTTGTATAGGCTATAGACTTGATCAAGTATTTCCAAGGGACTTTTAGTTTAGGAGTTTAAAAGGACGCGCAGAATATGAAATCCATTAGAATGGCCAACTTGGAGCGAATGTGTTTGTAGCCTGAATTCTACATGTCAAGTTTCATTTGCTGTACACATGCCTAATGGCGTAATGTATGCTAAACTTTTTCTTTGTATTTATAGACATTTTTGAGTAACATTTGAAAAAAGGCAAATTCACTATCTGGAGTCAGTGACACCTTACCAGGTCTGTATATGAGATAGATTTCACTAGAAGCACTATCGCGTGACATGCAGATGGTTGTCAGACGATAGTTATCAGACTGGGAAAATAATTCGTAGTTCTATTTAGAGGCCCCCAGTTAACCGGATTCGCGCTTTTTAGCTTCGACAGATGTCCCCGTTTAACAGTCACTGTTTGATTTCGTCATATTATCGCCATTTTGAGTGTTAAGATATTCCTGAATCGTTAACCACGATCTCGTGACAAGAGAATACCCTTGCAACTATCAGTGTCAATATTCGTGAAGTCGACCGCTGTTCCTGGATCTTTCCCGAAGCACGCGAATTCAAGAAGGGTTGAAATCATCGTTAATTTAAACACATTTCCAGAGTCCAATATATGTCTGCCATACATGGAAGCGTAATACAAAGGCTCGCTTTATGTCCAAGCTAAGAATATAATATAACTTATATCAGCATCATTTCAGAAGTCGACATTCCGTGTCGGATAACACTCGACACTTCCTCTAGTTCTTCAATCCTTAAGGAGCGAGCCTTATTAAGAATGCATACGAGAGGATCATGCATGGCCTAAACGGCAAACAATCATTAAGAATTGAACACTTTAAGCCTGCCGCACACGAGAGCTATGTGCTGAGCAAAAAGTTACTCGTGCCTGTTAGCTCAGCCGATAGCTCACCGTGTGCGCGTACATTTTACTGAGTTTTTTGCCTCATGCAACCTTTTCTCACGTATCAAACATGTTTGATCGGTGAGCTATCAGCTGAGCTAACAGGCACGAGTAACTTTTTGCTCAGCAGATAGCTCTCGTGTGCGGCAGGCTTACATACAAATGATTCATTCAGAGGTAATAGCACGTACATTAATTTAAAAGTTTTATCGCAAGTTATCGATAATATTTCAATATTTATATTATTGCCTCTTCAATAAGCTGACGTTTTTGTCGTGGCAGAACAAAAGCTTTCTATTTCAATTTAAATCCTATTTTTAAACCAAAAATCTTGTAAAGATACTTCATGTTTTCCGGGGTTGCTCATTGTATTATAAACCGTAAATCCGATAAATCTTTAAGTACAGAATACACATTTGGAAACATCTGTTTAATTAAAACACTGAAGTGTTTAGGTAATATATATGTGATATGCATTGCTGCCTTATTCACGTGTAAAATATGCACAAAAGTCAAAACGAACCGAAAGCAGGTGGTTCTATATCTTGTACAACACGGGTGTAAATGAATATGTATATAGCTGGTGATTCGTTTTCATGAAAATGATTCTATTCTAGGGTTTTAGGAACGCTATTTTCTAACGGAGAGATGTTGTTTCGCTCAGCTTCTGAAAGTTGTACATTCCGTATCGGATAGGTGATTTTTAGCGCGGCTACGGAAAGTTATCCCGCTATAGTGTAAATGAATGTAGCCTAAATTAGAAGACAAGATTTTCAAACAGGCTCGACACAGAACTCGTTAACGGCTATATAAGCTTTGTCTTCACCTTTTTAAACTTTTATGCGAAGATTTGTTATACAAGCGAAACTTAGCTTTTAACGAATCTGTTTTGCGTTGGCGTTTCACCATGTTTAAAGATGTTTTTAATGGTTTCCTTTTCAAATGCTTCTACTTAGACATACAGCAAAATTGACCTGCACATGTCTCGCATTTGTAGCGTAGGTGGCCCTGGTGGCATAGTTATTTATATCCAACAGCACACAATAGCTGAATCATGCCCAATTTTTTTTTTGAAATTTGATACAACAATATGTGGTTAAATTATTGAACCGGATGGTGTGTTTCCACGTCATATGCGCCCAACTAAATCTATCTTTGTCCACCTATCAGCTGACTTGTCGCAATATTTTGAGAGCTTCGGAAACTGGCTGTAATCACATTGTTGTTGAAAAATTTCAAGGGTAGGAGACGCTAATATTATCGTATATATCACTGGGATTGTCGATTTAAACTGAGGATCTCGTTTATATAGATACAGTATACCAAACTACGAAATCACTGAACCTTGTAATACACTGGCGCCAGTACTGTATCGACTTGTTCGTCAACTTTAACTCGCTCGGACTTGTCTTAGCATTTGTTATTATCGTGTGTTAAATATATTTAATAGTCAACTGGGCAACACGCTATCGTTGAATCGAAGGTATGTAAACTCATGTAGTTTTTAGTCTGGTTTCAAAAATATTTTGAATTAAATTCTATTCCCAAAATATATTGAAATGTTGTTTCCGCTCCCGAAGTGGCCTTGACCGCTGTTTCGACGCCTAAAACCTTCTATTTTCTCATCTGAATATTTCATATTTATGACTTATCAATATCATTGTATGATTTTAAATTAATCTGATTTTATCGCATTGAATTGGCATGTATATACACCAGATTGTTGCGGATGGCTTTATATAATACTCGAGCCGAGACCTCGTCACGGTTTAATACCTTGTATTAAAAAATTCGCCCTAAAACTTTGATTCAATAATCGATTTATCCTTAGTTCGTCATTGTATTTATTGATATGAAAAACTGAAACAAGGATGTTTTGTTAAAGCAAACAATGTGCCTATAGGTTAAACACAGCTTTCTGTTTTCAAAACAATTTTCAGACTGGCTCTTGTCAGAACGGAAGAAGGGCAAATAACGTGTTCGGAAGTGCCTTTGTGCTTGGATATTTCGTGCTGAAAAGTTTTACAATTTGGAGATTGATCGCACTTGACTCCGCAGTGAACTGGTTGGAAATAAATCATTGCTATGGCTGGCCTTTTGACTATTGCCACATTGCTGTTAGTTCTGGTTGCTTTAAGTCAAGGCACGAATTCAGAAAGTGCTTCTGGCTGCACGAATTCAGCCGACTCGAAGACTCTGACTTGCACAAACATCACAAAGCTGCCGAAACATATAGATGGAAACGTGACGAAATTGTAAGTACATATTAGTAAATATATGTTGGATTTTTTTTAGTCTTGTCGATATTCCATATATCAGGAAAATTTGGAACTTGAATAGTATATGTGACTTGTGATCACGTCTCATTCCATGTTAGCGCATTCATTTGTAATCAAATTGCGTTAACATATTATTCACAAAACAATTTATTGATGCAGACTCGCATGCGATGTCCGGCTTGACAAAACAAATGATAATATTATATAATTACTATGTTACGCTCTTTCCGACACTTTGCTGAGCGAATATCAAGCTAAAATCGCACGAGATGTTTTGCTGCTTGCTAGGTGATTTTGCGTGACAGTTTAGAATTTAATGCGACCCGGGAATGCGCTTATTAAAATAAAGTTATCATAATTATGAATGTGTACAGTCGAATGTACATTCAAAGTGCAAACAGCAAGATGGATCTACCAAATTCTAATATTTTTAAATGAGGTGTTAGCTTATGACCATGACTCGTTTTGGCAATTCGCAGGGATATACATGCATGATTTACAATACCAGTATAAAATATCTTATTCCTATTATTATTTTTGGCGCTTGTATTGTACATTTGACTGTTTCTTATCACATTTATAATAACTGTATACGCTCCAATAATCTGCAACGCAAATATGTATTCCGCTTTTAATCACTGGTTGTGCAAGGTGGTCAAAAAAACATGACGCTTGAAATCTATTATATATACTAATGTATTTTCGACAAAAAAACATGTCGAAATGTATGGAACAGATAAAGTAAACAGCAACCGTCAACTTGTGAGGTGCTGTTTAAAATTAAAGAAAACATTTTCTTAAGGTTGGTTTTAATACACTATCAAATTTCTATGACCACAAACGGTCCACACTATGAATTTTGCATTGGTAAATTCTAAGTTTTGAAGGATTTGTAAGAAATGTTTGAGGCAAATGACTCGTCGCTAAACACCGAGTAAGTCCACTCGAACATTTTTTACAAATCCTTCAAATTTTACGTCTGGAAAATACCTGCTGTGATTAAAGAGACTTTGATAGTGTAAACCAGCCATATATAAAGATCGGCCTCCAGTTTACAAGAGCTCGCTTTCAAGGACGCATGAAACTCTATCATCTGGATTTCCGATTTGCGTAACGTCCTTTATTGGTTTACGACAGCTAAAGATGTTATTCATTAAAGTAATTTACCGCTGTATGTATTTTCGCACGGTAACGCGCAATAGGATTAATGCATCTTCACTACTTGTGTAATATATAGCTTTCACAGTAATAGTATAAAGTTCGCTCAATGCCAAGATGCGACAAGGTTCTAGCTGAACAGGTCAAGTTCGCTTTTCACTCAATTACATGACTAAGATTTCGCACTACTATGACTAAAAGTAGTGACTAAATCACGAATTATTATGTCGCCATCTTGTCATGAGTTCATGCCCTTATTAATCTGCCATTAATACCAAGTGTAAAGCTAATAATTAGGTTGAACCTTCACACCTCACAATATAGACGTAAAGATAGATATAATACGTAAAGATAGATATAACTTTCCTGCTTTGCTCGTTTTGAATATCATGAACTGAATGAACTTTTGAAAGAAACTTTTACTTTGAAGCACTTGAATCAGTTCAACGACATTTTACAACACGCTTTATTATTGCATTGTGCCATGGTTAAAAGTTGAGATATTTTGTCTTTTCTTGTGTGGAAAGTTGTCAATGTTTCATTGGGCGCAGTCAAGCTGGAAATATTGCTCTTTTTACAACTGCTTGACTTCAGGAATCTACAGAGTGACAGACGTGAAAGGCAATACACCAATGTTCACTTTGAACAAACTATGCTTTACTCTCAGTGAAAGAAACTTTGGTAAAACTAGGCTGGAAAATATTGCTGCATTGTCATTGAGAAATACGTGCAATGAATTAAGTAAACAACCTGCAACATCTATTTAATCAGCTGAATTGTGTATATGCATGTGGCATCTGTGTCATGCAAACTGTTTTTAATTTAAAGGAAATGAAGAGCAAATGAATGTGAAAATAATTATATTGATGTTTATGTCTGCGAGAAAAACAACTCGTTGGAGAACATCCTTGTATATAGGATAAACTTGCTGGCACAGTGCCTTTCGTCTAAGAAAAGTGATTCTAGTTTGACACTGCCACATGCTTTTATAAGCACTTACAACATGTCCTGTATTTCACTTTAATTGAAAAAATCTAACAATGCTGAGCCTTTTTTAATTGTTTTTGCCGAGCAATGACGTCTTCGCACTTTCGAATGTCGCTTCAATTTTAAAACGTGTTTCTTCTCTTTGCGCAGGCGTAACACCGTGACATTTGCCACTATGTCTGAGGTTTCATTCTTGTTATATACAGTTGTCTCATTATAATTGCAGAGAAGAATGACCAAACACCGCAGGTTTTCGACAAGTATTCTTCCTGTAAATCCTCGTTTACACTATATAAAGGTTTCTGTGATCACAGTAGGAATTTTGCATAGATAAACTCTACGTTTTGAAGGATTTGTAAGAAATGTTTGAGGGAACTAACTTAATGTTAAACATTGAGTCATTTCCCTCAAACATTTCTTACAAATCCTTCAAAGCTTAGAATTTACCTTTGCAAAATTCCTACTGTGATCACAGGAACTTTGATAATGTGCAGGCTTTTATAAAACCCCGATGAAACGACTGATGAGAGTTGATGAAAGTTGGCAAGCGAGAGTTTGCACGAGAGTTCTCTTATCTCCCGATCAAACGAGAACAAGAGTTGCATGAGAGTTGTATTATTCAGGTCAAACGAGCCAATATTCTCGTCAACTGTATGTCATCAACTCTCGTTAACATCAAATTTTGAACAAGCTCAAAGATCGAGTGTCAAGCGAGAGCTACAACCCTCGTCAACTCAGACAACTCTCGTTTGTCCGGGGCAGTTAAAGAGATCGCCCATGCAGGAGTGAACCCGTGGTGTTTGGCAGAATGTAGAACTAGTGAAAGCAGTCGATGAATAAAATTAAGCAAAATGTGCGAAAGAAATTAAATGTTTAAAATTCATCAACATATGTAATTCAATCATCACTTTGCGTGAATGTGATATTATAGCAAGATTACAACATATAAAATGCAATATCTAATATAGAAAAACACCTGTTGTGGGGAAGATACGTATCGCATAGGCTATTTCAATATCGGCGGACTCTTACCAACGCAAATGAATGCGCCTTTCCAAAAATCTTTTCATAAACGTATGTCTTGGGCCTCTTGGCTATATACAGTGCCCTTATATATCCTTTTATTAAATGCTAAATATAGCCTATATAATCCTATACAAAGGTGAATGCTTCACCAAATTAGTACACATGGTGTTTCCCACATGACAAAACAATCTCCAGCCAGGAAATGTTTTTTTATTTTTCTACTTGTACATCAATCCCATCACAAAAAAAGATGCAGATATTGATAGATTGAGATACAACTACCTGAAAAATACAAGGAGAACTTCGTGGTTTCGAGCGAATGCCCTTCGTTGGAACTTCGCAGAACGTTGTCCCGAAACGTCGAAGTTCTCCTTGTATTTTTTAGGGAGTTGCATCGCTATCGATCCAAAGCTTTCTCTTATTATTGCCACGACCTCCACTGACACAGATCATTCACGATTCTGTTTCATCATGCATGCTCCAACTTGTTCTCCTGGCGGCATTTCAATGTTTGCAGTCAAGGTCGGCAACTATTGTCATTGATCTATTTATATCTCAATCTTAACCTGTTGAAAGGATGTATACATGCACAAGTGTTTTTGCTATGCAAAGAATAACAATTTATTTCAACCCGAGTTTATTCTAGACTTGGGAATGGCCTGAATTTTTGAAATTAGATTTAATGAACTACAAAGTAAACAGTTTACCCCATTATATGTAATTTATGTATAAACATTAATTATGACATTTTACAGTTGTTTTTGTCTTCAATCTTTTTCTCTTTTATTACATTGTAGACAAATTCGTAGTTCTAAATTGGACTCTTCTGAGCTAGAAAATATTGATGTACCAAAGAATGTGGGCAAAATGTAAGTCTCTCTTGATTTTGCGAAGGATGTGGTTAGTGTCCTCCATTTCAGTGAGCTTCGACGGTTTTCCTTCTTGACCAAGAAACCCTATACCACTTAAGCTGTTCTCTGTGATCAGAAAAAAATCTTCGACATCAATGAAAACTTTCGACATCACGTTTGTGCTGCGTGACCTTCGTAATTCAACTCCTACCAGGAAATATGATAACTTTCATCACCCTCTACTCTATTTCTCATTCAGAAAGTTTATTTCTTTTTGTGAGAAAAATAGTTTTACCATTGCAGTTAAAATAATCTCATTTTTTTCTTATGTATTAATATAGAGAAATCGTTGATTCCACTCTGGAAAGAATAGAAAATATTGTTTTGCCAAAACACATTATGAAGCTGTGAGTTCAACACTATAAATCATCTATTAAGACTTCAAGGGATTATTTATTTCACGCACGTTTGAGGGAGTGTTGCTTATTAAAGACAAAAGACTCAGGATTCAAATTACATTGTACACTAACAGACATATTTCTATCTCTTTAGGCGAATACGTAATTGCCAAATAAAAACTATTGGAAAGTTTAACTCTGCTAACAAACACTTAAAAGAGTTGTAAGTATAAAATTCTCTTTATAAATCATACCGCATATAGAGGCTGACTACTACTCGCATTAGCCATATTTTTGGCGTGGAAAAATCTTTGGCATTCAGGGAACAAAGATTTTTATATATTCCATATTTCTATTTAATAGGTACATTTCACAAAACCGGCCTGTTAAACTCAACATCGAGTCTGGAGCATTCGACAACCTTGCCAATCTTATACATCTGTAAGTACATATCTTTGTATTGAGGATATATGTGTCTTTATTACATTATTAGAGAGCTGTCTGTATTAGAAAGGTGTCCCTATCAGAGAGGTATCCGCATTAGAGAGGTGTCTGTATTAGAGAGGTATCCGTGTTAGAGAGGTGTCTGTATTAGAGGGGTATCCGTGTTAGAGTGGTGTTGTATTGGAGAGGTGCGTTTATTAGAGAGGTGTCTGTATTGGAGAGGTGCGTTTATTAGAGAGGTGTCTGTATTGGAGAGGTGCGTTTATTAGAGAGGTGTCTGTATTAGAGAGGTGTCTGTATTAGAGAGGTGTCTGTATTAGAGAGGTGTCTGTATTAGAGAGGTGTCTGTATTAGAGAGGTGTCTGTATTAGAGAGGTGCGTTTATTAGAGAGGTATCCGTGTTAGAGTGGTGTCTGTATTAGAGAGGTGTCTGTATTAGAGTGGTGTCTGTATTAGAGAGGTGCGTTTATTAGAGAGGTGTCTGTATTAGGAGGTATCCGTGTTAGAGAGGTGTCTGTATTAGAGAGGTATCCGTGTTAGAGTGGTGTCTGTATTGGAGAGGTGCG